AGTCTCATCCAGACACACCCAGAATAATGTTTCACCAAATATCTAGGCACACCATGGCCCATTCAAGTTGACACATAAAATTAGCCGTCATAGCATCCTAGAAGCGAGTGCTTCCTGGGACTGGTGTGCATGGTAAGACCAGAGACTTCCAATGGTATGAAGCTAGGCCATGAGCTCTGAGGGTCAGAGCCACTGAACTGTCTATAGCCTGTCCCCGCTGAACTGCCTTCTCTCGCTCCCCAAGCTGGTGGCTTTTTGAATCACTCAGTAAATCAGCAAGAACAGGTCATCCAAATGTGCCACAGGTGACTTCTAAAACCCAAGCATGTGGGGCGCCTCGGTGGCTCAGTCTGTTAAGCGTCCGACTTTGGCTCAGGTCACGATCTCACAGTTTGTGGGTTCGAGCCCCGCACCGGGCTCTGTGGTGACAGCTCAGAGCCTGGATCCTGCTTCGGATTCTGTGTCTCCCTCTCTCTCTGCCCCTCCCCTGCTCATGCTCTCTCTCTCTCAAAACTGAATAAATGGAAAAAAAAAAAAATTAAAACCCAAGCATGTGCCTCTTTTATACCGGATAGCAGGGGACCCAAAGTGCAACAGCTGTCCCTTCACTTTGTGGAAGGGGAGGGGCGGCATACCCCACCCAGACCACCAGACGCCCAGAAATTTCAAAGAAGTGGGGACCCTCGCACTTTCATGGGGTTTAACCTTCTACCTACAGACACCCACGCTTCTCAGCAGGTTACCTGTGACACCTGCTACCTCCTACGGTCTAAACTGGGAAAGTTGGGGTTACAGCTGTTTGCCTTCCGACCACCCCCCCCCACCCCATCAATGAGTTCAAGATAAATAGTACTTTGTAACATAGGATCCGAGGACTGTATTACAAGGCACACTTATCATAAGAGGAAAACTGGAAACGCGCTGTGAACAAGAAGAAAAGTCAGCTGCATTCTTTTACAGCTGTAGATTTAAAATATGTATGCCTCACGTTTATGGGGCTTTTGAGAAGGCTTTTGTTACTTGAGTTAATGAGGGTAATGAACTTGGGAAATGAAAAGAATTACTGCCTGGGCAGCTCTTCCAGATTCCCCACGTTTCTTTTCATGTGGTCTATTTCCTGGTGGCACTAACATTTGTTTACCTTGAAAATGCGAGAAGACACTTTTATGGCGGGAACGTCTCCATGGTGCCCCTCGATCCTCGCTCGTGAAGCCCCACACACCCCCTCTCTGTGAGGAGCCCGGGGAGCGCGGTGAAAGCAGCCGCGTCCAACAGAAGCAACATTCAGTCGCTGAAAAGGAAAAGGGACAGATTTATTCCTGTCCCGCTTGCCCTCCAGAATGCAAAGGGTAATAATAGTCCCAGGGGAGACATTTCTACTGCACTGAATATTTTGTCTGGGTTTTGAGGTTAGGAGTCTGGGAACACTGGCTCCTGTTATGTGATTCTGACAGTCCCTACACCTGCATTTGTAACATTTCTAATGTTTGATCTCTGAATATTCCCCCTCTTCCTTGAGATAAGCAAAGTATTTGTGAACGATCGCATGTCAAACGTTTTCCCATCACCGCTCTTCAGACCCTGTGAAAAAAACAAAAAATGTTCTCAAGGGAGAGTGGGAAACAAAATTTCAAATGCAGGCTCTGTGTTGATGTCATTGTACCGACACCACACGACTGTCACCTGCCCAGCCGTCCCCAGAGAAACACATATATCATCACGGGTACCTTCAATCTGCGCTTGCCCAGGGCAAGTAGTAACTGTCTTGTTTGATTCCTGGGAAGAGTTTTAAAATGTTAATTTTGGTGATGAGTATATTTTTAGAGATTGTCATAAGGACCAATCAGTCTGTTAAATTTCCTGCGTGTATCTTTTTAAAGAGGGTTGTCCTAGAAGCATCCAAGCTCCTTCAGGAGTCCGAAGGGCTCTGGCTTCTAAAATAGCTTCTATCTGAGACAATAGATAAAGTTTCCGGGGAACACATCAGAGGACCCAGCGGATGTAAATCTTGAGCAGTACTGAGCAGCGGATAATGTTTGTTCGAAGAGAGACAGGCTGCCTTTTTTTTTTTTAAAGAATAAAGTGGAAAATCCCTCCCTTGTGACTAGAAAAGCCGGCACACAGACCTTCCCCGTTTTGTGTGGCGACACACTATAATTCTTCCCATTTTTCTCTTCTTGCTCATGTTGAAAAAAAGAGTTAAGGAAGTCCAGAAAGGATAGAAAGGAAAATTGATGTTTTTTCTCTGACTAGCTGGGGGCAATTCGAGAAGAATATTCTCACTAGAGAAGAAAAGTTACTGGCAGATTAAAGAAGTGGGCAAAGTCAGCGCGTAGCAACGGAACCCCCAAAAAGCATCCTTGCGGGGAGGGCACAGAACAGAAACACTCTGACCACGATTCAGTGAGATCGGCCGATGGGAACTAAGCGTGAACGTAGAGAAAGCACAGAGCCCATTTGTTTTAAGATCTGTGGAAACAGTTGGGACATGTTTTATTATGAACATTTTCAAGCACGTATAAAAATAAGCGTCCGGATCCCCACGTGCCCATCATGCAACTTCAACAATGCTCAATCCTTTCCCTGCCTTTGTGTGATGCAACCCCTGGGTGTTATGTCAACAGTGAATTTTTCAGGGTGTACGTCTAGAGGATAAAGACCTTTTTTTTTAGAAGAAAATTACTGCATTATCACACCAAATAATTAACCAGAATCCCTGATTATCAGGGCTCAAATGTTACCATTGGTTCCTTTGAAACGGGGTCTTTCTTTCTTTCTTTCTTTCTTTCTTTTTGATTTTTAATGATTATTTACTTTTGAGAGAGAAAGAGAGAGACAGAGCATGAATGCGGGAGGGGCAGAGAGAGAGGGAGACACAGAATCCGAAGCGGGCTCCGGGCTCCGAGCTGTCAGCACAGAGCCCGACGCGGGACTCGAACCCACGAACCGTGAGATCATGACCCGAGTCAACGTTGGATGCTTTGACTGAGCCATCCAGGTGCCCGAAGCAGGATTTTCAAGATAAGATCCATACACTGCAATTGATCTCTTAAAAATGAGCAAGCTTTTTGGGAGTGGCTTGAGGTTGCTTGTACGGAACACTCTACGCGGGCACGATGACACAGTATTGCAGGAGCTTGGGTCTCTGCATAGATTCTTGGGTGAATGGGTCAGAAGTTACATGCTCAGGGGCTCAGGGAAGGTGGCTTCAGCTGAATTGCTAGGGTCCCAGGTCTCCCCTGGCCAAAATGGAGTAGTGGTGAATACTGGCTACCGGCAGCCACCTTTGGGGGCAAGGACAGAGACGATGACCCTCCTTCCGGAACGTGGATCAGATACACCAGCACGCCGCGATGCCCTGTGCCCTGCCACCTTTCAGGGAGCAGCATGACACCTGCTTATCTTGTCGCCTAGTGACACTTCTTCCCAGGGATGATGGGGAACCTGCCTGGAACGAGGGTGCCACTCACGGCAGTGAACCAGCATGATCACTGTATGCCAAAGGCCACAAATGTCTTGTCCCTGTCTCGCTGGCCAGCCCAGTTCTCCTTGCCAGGCATGGTCCTCAGAACCTTGTCCTGGAGCGATGGCCCCAGAAGCAGTCAATGACCTCAGACTCCCGAACGGGCAGGAGAAGAGACAACCTCCTGCATGCCCTTGGTCTCCACGCTCTTGACCAGGGGAGGACCGAACGAGCTGGTGAAGCTGAAGTGACTGGTTACTCACTGGACAGAAGTGCCGGGTGTTGAAACTAGCTCGTCACCTGCCCAGGTGTGGCCTGGTCCCCCACCCCCTGCCTGCTGCTGGCAGCACACCCGCTTACTTTCTGGAAACCTACCGAGCTCCTGCCTTTCCTCTAAACCTGATCATCCTCCCTTATTCCCGTCTCAGCCTCTGGCTGTTCTCAGATGTCAACACTCCATAATCTGGGTTACCTTCCGTTCTCCTGTTCCTCCTCTTGGCTTTGTCCACACAGCGGCCTCCCAGCTGCTCCCCTGCCTCCAGTCTTTCCCTCAGCAGGTGCCCCTTCCTCTTTGGGGCCATCCTCTCCATCGGTGCCCTGTCCTCATCCGCACCGGTCCCTCTGTCAATGGCTCCTACCTTCCTGATCTGAGAGTATCTTGTCCGGTTTGTGTCTCCCCCTTGAAATACTGACGTGCGTGCCCGTGCTGTGTCTCAGCCGCCTGAGAGCTCTCTGCAGGCGAGGGGTCCAGGTGATACAGAGAAGTGCCCTGCTCGTGAAGAAGGTATTCTCTAGGGGAGGCAGGACATGGGCGTGGGTGCTCATTTACAAACACGTAAATGAGGAAGGTCATTGGCAGGCGATTCGCGCCACAGAGGCCGAAAGAATCTGGATGACGGGACAGAGCAGCAGGGGAAGCTGGGGGACCGTTTCCACGATGTCTTGCATTTCTGCGCACCTTGGGAACGGGCGGCGGGGGAGGGGGGCACTGGCGGCCTGTGCCCTGGATTCTCTTTTCAAAGATGTTTGTCTAGTCAACAGTCTCAGAGGATAGAGGCAGAGCCTCCCTCCGGAGCAAAGGGCAGGGCGGCTGACTGTCCAGCAAAGAAAGATGATGTCCCGTTCGGGGCAGAAGGAGGACACCAGGTGCCCGTGTGTCCGTTAGAACAGATCCGGGCTCCCTGAACTCAGGTTTCCTCCCCTGTGACACACGCCCACCGAGGGGGCAGCATCTGCCTGGTTGGCTGGGTGCCACCGACTTCCGGTTTGGGGAGCAATGGGAACCCATGCAAATGTGAAGCCTGGGCTGCGGGCTGTGCTGGGGGCACTAACGTCCTGGTCTCTGGCCCAGAGAGGCCCGCGTCTTCTGCCGGCATCCATGAGATGTGGCGGGCCAACCTGTTAGCCCAGGGAAAAATCTGGTAAGTGAGGAGACCCATTCATTCATTCCTTCATTCACGTGTATTTATTGCACTCCTGCCACTTACCAGGCACTTTTTTAAGTACTTGCATAGAATAAACCCCTCAAATATTCCGGTCCTATGAAGCTTATACTTTATCGCAAGGGAAGACCAACAATAAACGACCTAAAGAATATAATATATAGAAAGATACAAAGTCTAATATTTTATAGCATCATATAGTGCATAATGTGATAAATAACATGGAAAGATAGATCAAGGAAGGGCTGGGCTGGGGTAGGGGAGAAGGTTTATCGTTTTAAATGGATATGAAACAGGAGTGGTCCAGATTTTTTAGTTTTATTGGTGAAGGGAGGGCAGTTAGCATATTCTCGGTGGAGGGGGAACCACTGCCGGGTATAAGCAGGGAAATGATGACTTCCGATTTGCTGTTTTAAGGATCGCCGTGGCTGCAGGGCAGGGAGCGGGTGACGGTGGGGAGGGCAAGGGAGCAGAGGCTGTCACCTGCCCAGGAGGGAGGCCGGATGTGGGCAGTGGGACGGAGAGGGAGAGAAGTGTCATATTCCGAAGAAGGGAAGGGAGGGGAATATATTTTGGAAGTAGAAATGACAGAGGTTTTCGACAGGTTGGTTGTGGAGTGTGAGACAGACAAGAATCCAAGACGACACTTGGATTTCGGACTTGAACCACTGGGTAAAATGGAGGTGCCCCTGCCGGGGGTGGGGGGGGGGAGGCTGGGGGTGGAACAAGTCTCCATGGAGACTGACCACGTTGTCCGTGATTTATAGATTTCATCTCAACACACACCTCTGTGCTCAGAAGTGAGAGCCACGTTTCGTGACAATCTGCCGGGATGTGGAAGCCTTCCCGATCTCTGGCGTTGCTCTCTGCGTTGTCTCTGGTTCTCACGTCCATGAATGTGTGTATCTGTGTGTGTTGATGCAGGAGGCATATCAAAAGATTTGGCAATGTCATAGTAATAGAAACGTATAATAACAGGGGCGCCTGGGTGGCTCAGCCGGTTAAGCAGTCACGATCAGGTCACAATCTCGCGGTCCGTGAGTTCGAGCCTCACGTCGGGCTCTGTGCTGACAGCTCAGAGCCTGGAGCCTGTTTCAGATTCTGTGTCTCCCTCTCTCTCTGTCCCTCCCCTGTTCATGCTCTGTCTCTCTCTGTCTCAAAAATAAATAAACGTTAAAAAAAAATTAAAAAAAAGAAACGTATAACATGTTAATAATATATATACAAATAATAATAGAAATACATAAGTACACAAATCACAATATAAAACTCATATATTATAGTATATATATTATATATAACACTTGATGGATATATAGAAACATTTAAAATGTGCCTTTTAAATCTCAAATATATATATTTTTATAGAATGATCACAAAGTGGTAAGTTGTAACATACATCATTCATCTATTCGGTCCAGTAATCTCTAAAGCATTGGTTGACATTTGGAAATTGTAGATGTAATTTTTTGTTTGTTTCTTAGGTGTGGCTGTCACCAGCCATATGACACCACCAGCAGGTCTGAGCTGTCATTGGACATGGGGATGGCATTGTCAGGAAAAGTGGTGAGAAATCTGAAAAGGGGAAGAAGAGAACCCTGGGTGTCTCCAGTCCTTCTGGCTTATATGCGCTTTGGGGTTTTTTTAATTTTTTTATTTTTTGTTTTTAAATTTACATCCAAGTTACTTATCATGTAGTGCGATAATGATTTCAGGAGTAGATTCCAGTGATTCATCCCCCACGTATAACACCCAGTGCTCCTCCCCACAAGTGTCTTCCTTAATGCCCTTTGCCCATGTAGCCCATCCTCCTACCCACAACCCCTCCAGTCTGTTCTCTGTATTTAAGGGTCTCTTCTGTTTTGTCCCCCTCCCTGTTTTTATATTATTTTTGCTTTCCTTCCCTTATGTTCATCGGTTTTGAATCTTAAAGTCCTCATATGAGTGAAGTCATCTGATGTTTGCCTTTCTCTGACTAATGTCGCTTAGCATAATACCCTCTAGTTCCATCCACGTAGTTGCAAATGGCAAGGTGTCACTCTTTTTGATTGCCGAGTAGCACTCCATTGTATAGACAAACCTCTTCTTTATCCATTCATCTGTCGATGGACATTGTATGCACCTTTGGTTTTGAGCTACTTCACAGCTCTGTGTGTTACAGAAACTGGCAGTAGTATAATTGATCTTTGTCCACAGAAATGCAAATTAATATTATCCACTGGCGATATGATAGACTATCCCTCTGGGGATATGGACCTGTTTTGGATCAATTTGCATATTTATTTCAGCATTCTTGGTTTTCTCTATAGTGTATTCTCTGAATTCTCCTTTGCGTGGATTGTAACATCCTACCGGCTTCTTCATCAGTTAATGAGTTATATCTTTGACACACATTCATCTAATAGTTGTCCGAGTTAAGCTGATTTTACCATTTAAAAATTATTTTTAACAACATCAAATGTTTCCAAAGATCATCTTTTAAGTGGGTAGTTATTAGGTTATCCAAGATCCCCATAACTAGAGATTTTCTCTTAACGTCAACGACATCGGTCAAGATGCTGAACCCTCTCTTAACTTCTATTGACCTAACAGCAATAACTTTACAATCTTTTCTAACTGCTTTTATACTGCCTGATACTTTTTAAAAATTTAACATCTTTATTATCAAATAAGCCATAATGTCTTGAAATGTCATTTTAATTAATTGCCTCAATTTGTTATGTTTTTTCTTCATCTGCAATCCAGAAGTTCTGTCAACCTTGTTGGCCAAGTTTCAGGATTCGGTAAATTGGAATAACTCAAAAGTTTTCAAAATTTTTCATATGTTGCTCTTAAATACATTCACATACAATTTTGTAAACAGGCTAATATATTCAATCTTGAAATTGATACAGTCTTCCCAAATTGTTGTAGATCATTTTCTTATTTCTGTCACGTCTTTTTCTTCATTTTTGCAGATTTATCTACAAGTAAGTTCAAGCATTTTATCATTCACTGCATTCATGTAGGCTTTAATAGCTGAAACCTTTCTTTCTTTTTAAACAATCTTTACACCCAGTGTGGGGCTCGAACTTACAACCCTGAGATCAAGAGTCGTATGTTCCACCAACCGAGCCAGCCAAGCACCAGGAACACGTCTTTCTTATAAGGCTAAGAAAAGCGCTGAGTTCTTTTTATGACATCATTTATCAAGGTCACATATCTGCATGATGTTTTGTTTTCCATACTGTTTATTTCCATTTCGCAGTTTATTACCATTCAAGGCTGGCTACGATCTCCAGCTGGCTCTTGCAGTTCTGGTAGATCCAAATATTCTTCCAGTTTTCATTTTTTCGATTCCTTCCTTTTCAGACACATTATCTGATTTTCTTTGATAGTCACTCAATACATGGTAGAAAATATTTAAAGTTACTTGCTATGAATCTTTCATTACATTGACCCCAAATAACTGAACGATATCTATGACACAAGAGTTTCTTTGTGTGTTTACAATTTTTTTTAACTTTTTTTCATGTTTATTTGTTTATTTTGAGAGTGAGAGACAGGGGGAAGGGCAGAGAGAGAAAGGGAGAGGGAGAATCCCAAGCAGGCTCCGTGCTGTCAGCACAGACCCCAATGTGGGACTTGACCTGAGCCAAAATCAAGGGCCAGATGCTTAACCAACTGAGCCACCCAGGCGTCCCACTTTGTGTGTTTAAAAATGGATTGTAGGGGTGCCTGCGTGGCTTAGTAGGTTGAGTGTCCAACTTCGGCTCAGGTCATGATCTCACGGTTCATGAGTTTGAGCCCTGCATTGGGGTCTCTGCTGTCAGCACGGAGCCCGCTTCAAATCCTCTGTCCCCCCTGCCTCTCTGCCCCTCCCCCACTCATGCTTGCTCTCTCTCTCTCTCAAAAATAAACATTTAAAAAAATAATAAGGGTGAAAAAATAAACAATAAAGAAATAAACATATGGTAGGGGGACATAGTTTTACAAAATCCCATTAAGGAGAATACGAGCAAACGTGTGGAAGCCCACAGCAGTACACTATTCTACGTAAGGATATTTTATAATTTATTTACCTTTTTACCTGTCAGTGGGTGTCCAGGTTCTTTGCTGTCATAAACAATGATGCAATGAACATCTGTGTGTTCACACTCCCCTGAGCAGACGTTTCTCCAGATTTATGCTGTAAGTAGGATTTCAGGGTGAAAGAAATGGGCATTTTTAACTTTACTTGGTATTTTCATCTGCTCCCCAAAGTGGATGACCTGACTTACGACCCCACCACAGTGTCTCCACGCCCCTGATTCTCCACGTCCTTGAAGACACTTGGCCCCATCAGACCTCTTCATCTTTGCACATCTGGTAGGTCTGGAGTGATGCTTGCTTCCTCACTGGTCTTCTTCTGATTACCAGGCACTGTGCCAGGCCGCCGGAGAGGGACATGGTCCTGTCTTAGAGGTCCCTGCTGAGTGAAGGGGAGCAAGTCCAGAATAACTTTCAGGGACACCGACCCGTGTTGGGCTCTTCATATTTTCCCCTCTCTGGTTCCAAGAGTCTTCCCCAGGGCAGGTGAATGGGGCAGAAATTTCCCGGAAGCCATCCCCTCCTTGTGTTCTGAATTCACTGGGAAGATAGATCTTGGAGGTCCTTGGTTGGGAACAGTCCCTGAGACTGCTCCGGGGATGCAGAGACTCCTCCTGGGGGCGGCTTGGGCACCAGGGCTCCAGTCTGGGCTGGGATGCCAGTGTCCGGGAACGGCCAAGAGCAGAGTGGGTGGGGCAAGGGCGTCCGGAGTTTCGGTGTCCCTCTGATGGGACTGCCTCTACTATTTCACTCTGGTTAGGGCACTGGACCAGGACGGGAAGCATCAGGAGACCTGAGAATGAAAGTCATGAACTTTCCTGCTTCCCTGGGTACGATGGAGGCTTGGAGTCCAATTTGATTGAGGAGGAAGAGGGAGGCGGATGCTCCACTGCACCTGCGTGTGTGGGTAAGCCATGCGGTAAACGGGCCATCTCGATGCATCGTGAAACACGTGTCTCTACAGGGCAACGGCGTGCATGGGCACCGCATGGGCACTCAGCTCAGTCCCAAGGTCGGGGGACTTTGGAGGGGGGAGTGTGCCTCAAGGGGGAGGAGGAATCAGACCAAAGCGTCAAGTGTTGAGGAAATTGGGTTTCTCTTTGGAATAATAAATGGAGGAATATCAAAGAGAGGAATAAATCTGCATTTGTGAAAGATGATCCTGCCTGCAGTGTAGACAATGGATCAGGGGTCAGGAGACTGGAGTGAGCAGGGGAGACTTGGCAGGCAATGATGCAGGTGACACTAGGCGGTCACAATGGCTGTGACCGGAAACATGACCCCAGGGGGCCCGATGCTGCTCTGGTGGGAGGGGCCTGGGAAGGCAGCAACAGGCCCCCCGAGGAGCCCAGGAAGAGCGGGTGTGGGTGGGTGGGTGTGAAGGCGAGGGTTCTGTCAGGGCCCGGTCCATTTGGCAGCCTGGGGACCTAACAGGAAGTGAGGAGCTCGTCAGAAGCTCACGAGCAGGACCGGGGACCAGTCATTTAGTTTAAGGGTCACTTAGTTTCAGTAAAGATACAGGGGTGATGACATCACCCAGGGAGGGCGAGAAGGCGGAGGAGGAGAGAGGGTCTGGGACAGGAATGGCTATTGCGTAGTTTCAAGATACAATCAAGTTCCATTGTGACCTGGCTGCCTCTACCTTTTTTTTTTTTTTTTTTTAATTTTTGTTAATGTTTCTTTTTGAGACACAGAGAGAGAGACAGAGAGAGAGAGAGACAGAGCATGAGCAAGGGAGGGGCAGAGAGAGAGGGAGGCACAGAATCCAAAGCAGGCTCCAGGCTCCGAGCTGTCAGCACAGAGCCCGACGCGGGGCTCGAACTCACGAACCGTGAGATGGTGACCTGAGCCGAAGCCGGACACCTAACCGACTGAGCCCCCCAGGCACCCCTGCCTCTGTCTTTTTGTTACCGTCCTCGACGTGAATTTATAATCGTTTCCCCCAACTTTACCTTACAGAGCATTTCATATAAAAATGAACCACTGCCTCTATTATCCTGAATACTAGAAAAACCGCGTCACAAGCTACAAGGGCCACATGCGCTGCTGTGAGTTGCCTTCCTGGCGGCACGTTGTTTTAGTCGTGAGACTCTTAGCTCACTGGGTAGCTCATAAAGTTCCTAATTAAATGGGAGTGGGAAAATACGTTTATTATTTATTTATTAGCAAACAGCCTTTGATACTGAACCTGAGCACTATGACGACATGTACCGACAGGATCTTTTCGAATCTGGGCTCATCGGGGACGGCTATAGAGAAGGGGGTGGGCTCTTTTTTACAACCACACCAGAACTACTCAAAAGGTGTTTTCCTCTTCGAAGCGGGAGATTTAGTCAAGCGATTACGCCCTTTGAGAGGACACGATTGAAATGCTTTTGGGGGGCAAGACTCTCTCCTAAATACCTGCCTCAGGGGCTCAAGCCATCTCTTTGGAGGAGGATGAGGGGGCTTGACTTTTAGGATCAGCCAAGTCGTTGGGAGCCAAGTGTGATGAATGAGAGGAAAGACTGAGCCAAGTAATAGCAGATCAGCAAACTTGCGGTATCCCCTCCCCCGTGCGGGCCTCCCCCTCCCCTATTCTCACCCACTCACGAAGGGCATTGCCATCCACCAGCCTGAAAAACAACTTCATTAGAGCATTTGTTTATAATTTAAATTCTAATTCACCCCTCCTTAGTCAGTTTTGTGTTTTCTCTAACACACATTCCAGAACATTCCGTTCCGGTAAAACACAGGCACAGAGAATGTGTTCAAAGAAATTCTAGGGGTGCCTGGGTGGCTCAGTCGGTTGAGCGTCCGACTTCAGCTCAGGTCATGATACGTTTCTTGAGTTCGACGCACACATGGGCGTCCCTCCCCCACTCTCTCTCTCTCTCTCTCTCAAAATAAATAAAACATTTAAAAAATATATTAATTGAACTTCAAAATGAGCTGCAAGCCAGAGGAAGTAACAGTGGGCCGGCAATGGACGACCTAAGGTAACAAGACGGTACCCTACTGTTTTCTTCAGTGATTTCAAAGCTATTAGTTCATGTAATTCGCATCCAGCCACCCAGAAAGATGGGCCAGGCAAGTCCCAATATCCCTATTTTACAGAAAGGGGCGCAGGGGCGCCTGGGTGGCGCAGTCGGTTAAGCGTCCGACTTCAGCCAGGTCACGATCTCGCGATCCGTGAGTTCGAGCCCCGCGTCGGGCTCTGGGCTGATGGCTCAGAGCCTGGAGCCTGTTTCCGATTCTGTGTCTCCCTCTCTCTCTGCCCCTCCCCCGTTCATGCTCTGTCTCTCTCTGTCCCAAAAATAAAAAAAAATAAAAAAAAACGTTGAAAAAAAAAATTAAAAAAATAAAATAAAATAGTAAACCAGTATGAAGTAACTTCTAATTTCTGCCTAGATGATATTTGAAAAAAAATAAATAAATAATAATGGAACTCAGGCGTAGTTGAACTTGAGTGTGGAGGTTCTGGAGCAAGAGGGACCGTGCTGAAATTCCTCAGTTCATCCTACAGACGTGACACGTTCCCTATTCCCCGAGGTTTGTGTGGCCCCGAAAACTTGGGATGGGCAAGTATAAGCTAATGAATTAGGGAAATCTGACAAAATTATAATGATAAGGTAATAAGCTCCATTATATCAGTTTTCAGGGAGTTAGAGTGAACCATTCCAACGAAGACACCGGCTAATAGGTTGCTGTGGCCAAAAACCCATAAAATACATCAAGGATTTCCGCAAAGCTGAGAATATGTTCCCACCATTCTCAGAAGCGAGGGTACCAGATACATCTTTAATTATGGCATGTCAAGAAAATATCTTGAGGAAGAACCATTAAAAAATAATCAGGAGAAGGAGAGAGAGGCTGATACTGGGGTTAGAATAAGAAGGTTAGGATCTTTTTTTTTTTTTTTTTTGCCTAGAAAGACAATGGCTCTGAGGAAAAATAGAGAATAATTTCTTTTTTTTCTTTTTTAACTTTTATTTATTTTTGAGACAGAGAGAGACAGAGCATGAACGGGGGAGGGGCAGAGAGAGGGAGACACAGCATCTGAAACAGGCTCCAGGCTCTGAGCTGTCAGCACAGAGCCCGATGCAGGGCTCGAACTCACGGACCGCGAGATCATGACCTGAGCTGAAGTCGACGGCTCAACCGACTGAGCCACCCAGGCGCCCCAGAGAATAATTTCTTGATGGACTTTCTGTTTATTGGACAAATTTACCAAATGCCTACTTGGTCCAGGCACATTTAGGTGCTAGAATTCACCAACACACAAGACAGACCAATCCTTGTCCTTGTGGGGGGGGGGGGGGGGGGGGGGGTCACTGGATATTAATATAAACTTGTTTTTTCCAAATCTTGGAAAATTAGGTAGAAAGATTATCTTATGAAGCCTGAAAGGGGTATATTTAGACCAAGCATAAGAACCCCTGCACAATGCCCGGGACTAGAGCAGTGCCCAGTGGTAATTGGTGATTTTATCTAACAGAAGTGTTGTTGTTCTTAATATCCTTTATCTTTGCGATATTAAAACTCCAAGAAAACTCCAGAAAAAGTAGGCGAAGGACAGCAGGCAATTCAGAAAGAAGAGAAATGGCCAATCGAATTAAATGCAAATTCGAATATGTGCAAAATCAAATGCAAATGAGAATGTATGCAAATTTAAATGCAAATTAGAACACACGCAAAATTAAAGGCAAATTAAAACGTAACAGTGCAAGTCGCTAGAAACTTCAAGAGTTAGTAGCTATGCAGGTAGAAGAGGCTAACAGATTCTAATAAATCCACACAAGGTGTATAATGATTGATTAGTGAGAACTAGACATTGGGGGATATGAAAACCGACATTTGAACAATAGGTTGTTGTCAGAGGCTCCTAGCATAGCTCATTGAGTTTAACCCGAGATTTCTGTGCTGCAGGCTCACGGACCCATTCCTGGGGACCACCATGGGGAGGCGGAAAAACACTGAGTTGAATTTTTGGCACGCGGCCCAGCCGGGCTTTCTTATGTAACAATCGCCTGAGCTAGTTAGTATGAGAACTTTTGAAATAAAAGCTAAGAGTGGCCAAAACAAATATGTGGCCAGATTAAAGCCAGCTTGGCCAATGTTTCTCTAACATTCCTGCTTTATAAACATAGAAAACAGTAAGAAAAGAGAAGGTTGTGTTTTTGCCACAAATCATATTTGTGATCCTTGTTTGTCCCTGTTACACCATCTTCGCTGTCAAAAGCTTGAGCATTCCAGAGAGTCCACTGGGAGCTTTCGAAACACCAACCAAAACAAAGCAAAAGTCAGGGATGGAGAAACTGAGGTTCCCTGTTCTCTTGTGGGTGTCGCCGAAGTTTTCGCTTTCATAACCGACGTCGGATCTTTCAAGCAAACGCCTAGAACTCTCCCCTCTCTGCAAACCAGGTATCTGTGGACCAGGTGATGTATTTGTTCAGCGTATCCTGTGCCTTTATTCCCAGAAGAAATGGAATGGGACAGAACACTCTGTCAAATAAACAATTGCCCAAGGTCTTGGGCAAGAGAAATTGGGACAGGAAGCAGACAGCGGACTCTTTGCCCTAGGTAACTGCCTGATAAGGTAAACACACCGTGTACAATGAGTTCCTGTCCTCCTGTGATAAATATTTATATGCTGAGCCCTGTGTTTGAAAGCACTAAACCATCCCTCAGTCTGAACATTGACCTTTCGATGCAGAACACGGGGCTAATTTTACAGGTGATGTAATTAATTTTTGTGGCTCCAAGCCGTACTGGGAACGAGAGAAATGGTTGTTTTGGTGATTGTTTAAGAGGGATTCGGCAGGCTGCGCACAGCGTTCGGGTCACAGTGTCAGCACACGGTCAGCAGATTTCTTAGTCACACCTGGAATTCAAGGATCTTAGGAAGACGGTGGTGTAGGGAGCTTATGACGAACAAACTCAGGTTCTCCGGATGTTAGAGGAGGTGATGAACTCGACCCTGTGTTCAGGCACGGCCTTGCACTAATGTTCGGAGCATGCCAAGGGCTTTATTTTTAGCAAATGGCTTTAGCGTGGACCCAAGTTTCTGTGACCGGGATGTACTTCACTTTAACGTTAATAAAATGTACAGGCAGACCACTATTTCACGGTGCGCTGAACTGACCCCGTCCCCCAAAACGTAAAAGGCCGATGACGAATGAGGAAAGATACCTGCCACGAAACAGCACCATCCCGTGGCCCAAGCTGGAAACCAGGGTCCGTCCGCACCCCTCTCTCTCGCCCCTGTGTTCAGCGCATCTAAAGACCTTGTTCCACCCCTGAAATACCTCAAATGCACACACTGCCCCCATCACACTTTGCCAATTCTCTGCCTCTTCCAACTTACCCTTTGCACAGGTGTCCCCGGGCACTAACTCACAGCAGTGCCCTCTGTGCTTCCGTTTCTCATTAACTGGCACATTCTCCGGTTCTGCATCTTGGGTCCCCCTCCCCTGACCCACCCTCTGCCAGGTCTTGTGGATCGGCCTTCTGGAACACCTTGGAGCCATCCACCCACATCACTGGACGTTCACTGCCTCTCCCCTTTCTCACGTGGGCCCTCACGTCCCACTTGGACCGCAGAAATGACCTCCATGACCTCTGGGGCCCATTCAGCAGCTCCGGCCTCAACGTCCCCAGCAAAGCCAGAGGGACCTTTCCCAACCACAAGCCTGATGAGGCCACTTCTGGGCTGAAAACCAGTTCGGACTTCCCTCCGCCCTGAGGATGAAGACAAAGCTCCCATCCCACTTTCAGGGGCTGTGTCACTACCCTAGTGCCACCCCCAGGGTGGGCTGCTCAGCCACACCAGCTCCCAACACAGAGCCCAGGGGACTTCCTCCCTTTTCGCTCGTTCATTCACTTCCAAAAACTCACCCGCGTCTGAGATCAGCTTACTTACTCGCCTGCACATCACAGGTGCTCAGTGCATATCTGTGGAATAAATGAATGGATGAAGGAACCAACCAAGGAAACCTCCGTCCCAGGGTGATAAACGGTGAATTCATCCGAGAAAATGGCAGACCTTAAAGACCATAAACTAGGAGTCCAGGCCCTGGATGGCCATCTTATCCATAGCTGTGGACAAAGAGTCTAGAAAGGAAAATGAACAGTTGCTGGCCGACTGTCTGACCGCCTCACCTTGATCTGGAACTCTCTAATCTCTGTGCCCACCCCCCAGTCCCCTGCACTGGTCTTCCTTCACATTCCAGCTCAAAACACATTCCTTCACGTCGCTGGACACGCCTGCCCGCCCGCTCCGTTGGGCCTCAGGGCCTTGCACCTGCTAATATCTCTCCAGCCCCTCCCCCTCCCACCGCAAGTGGTTATTTCCTACTCCTTCATCGCGAACTGCAACTCCGATGTCACTTCCTGAGAGGGGCCTTGCGGAGCCCTAGGCCAGATCAGATCCCCTCACAGCATGCCAGTCCTTGCCCAAACACCAACCGACCCATTTTGCAACTACGGGTTTGGGTAACTCTCACTACCATCTACCTTCTTGCCCCGTGAAGGCGGGGATTGTGGGGTGTTCCTCACCTCTTCAGGCAGACCTCCATCCAACACGGCAGCTTGTCTAAAGCGGTGCCCAACTAATATTCGGTGATTGTTATGGAAGCACGGGGAGTGTCGATACTCTAATACGCTTTACGTATGTGACCCTCAGACTCCAGGAGAACGAGTGGGCAAAGGAAGTAGCAAGCAATCCAAACGATACAAACGGTCCAGCAAACACACGTTAGAACATAACAAAAGATCGCTTCGACATGATAAGTTGCAAACTCTCCGAAAAGCAATCGTAACATCTGCACGTTCGACGCAATGTCTATCAAAATCCTAACAATCTGTTTTTGCAGAAATAGAAAATCCCTCCCAAAAATTCACATGCAATTGCAAGGGACTCTGAACAGCCGGAACCATGCTGGACAAAAACAAAGTAGGAAATCTCACGCTGCCTGATTTCAAAACTTCCTACAAAGCTACAGTAATCAAAACGGGGTGGTCCTGCCACAGACACAAGACTTCTAGACCAATAGAATAATCTAGAACAGGAAAGTGAAAGAGATATCCCAGAAAGAAATCCTCACCTAACTGGTCAAATGATTTTCAGCAAGGGTCCCAAGACCATTCCATGGAGGAAAGGACGGTCTTTTCCCAACGGTGCTGGGAAAACTGGACATCCACATGCACAAGAACAAAACTGGACTCTTACCTAACACGATATGCCTGCTCAAGTGGGCGAGGGGCAGAGAGAGAGCGGGAAGAGAGAGAATCCCAAGCAGGCTCCTCACTGTCAGTGCAAAGCCCGACGTGGGGTTCGGACCCAGGAACTATGAGATCATGATCCAAGCCCAAATCAAAGGTCAGATGCTTAACCAACTGAGCCACTCAAGCACCCCTGCAATTGCATTTCTAATTGTATCTGGATGGTCTTCTAGAAGACGCAGGAACAACAACTTCAAAGGCCACAGGTGTCCCTTCAGCGGCGGGTCTTAGATGGATGCTGTGGGGGCCACTTGCCGTCCTAGGGGGCTCAGGGGTTTTAGCTGTTTGGGCATCTGATAAAGGACTGATCACCACTCCCGGGTACCCGGCCTTCCTCTTTGTTACCAGAACTGGACTTTTACTTCTGAATGTTATGAACCAAGCTATTTGAAACTTTCAAGAAAGTGTCTGCACAGTCCAAGTCATAAAAGAAGCCAGACACCTGCAGAGGAGGCGGGCAGGTATGAGGGTGGTACCCCAGCGGTGATGTCTGCTTCCCCCACAGCCCAGGCGGGGCCCTGTGCTGGTGTCACGCTTTCAGGGGCCCCACTTTGGTCCGACCGCACCCTCCCTCATAGAGCAAGGAGCCCGGTCCCCACTTCCAGGCTGTACTCTGGTTTTCTGGGACCCCGGGATCCCCTGCCCCAAGGGTCCCCAGCCAACTTGTAGGGTCTGCCCTTCCGTCAGCGGGCCAGCCTATGGTGTGTGTCCCTCTAGGCAAGAGGGCCAGGGGAGGGACAACGGGCTTCATCCAGGGCCATACTCTCGTGACCGCTGTGCCCAATCGCAGGCCACTGTACTACTGCAACCTGCATGAAAAAGAAAAACAAAATAGGTGGGGGGCCTGGGTGGCTCAGTTGCTTAAGCATCCGACTCTTGATTTCGGCTCGGGTCATGATCTCATGGTTCATGAGTTTGAGTCCCACATTGGGCTTTGTACTGACAGCTTGGAGCCTGCTTGGGATTCTGTCTCCCTCTCTCCCTACCTCTCCCCTGCTGCCGCTCTCTCGCTCTCTCTCAGAATGAATAAATAAACTTTAAAAATGTTTAAAAAACACAGCAGGGGCGCCTGGGGTGCTCAGTCGGTTGAGCACCCGACTTCGGCTCAGGTCATGATCTCGCGGTCCGTGAGTTCGAGCCCCGCGTCGGGCTCTGTGCTGACAGCTCGGAGCCTGGAGCCGGCTTCGGATTCTGTGTCTCCCTCTCTCTCTGTCCCTCCCCTGCTCGTGCTCTGCCTCTCTCTCTCTCTCTCAAAAATAAATAAACATTAAAAAAAAAATTTTTTTTAATAGAGCAAGATAGAAAATACAGCAGGCATATATAAGTATTTTGGTAAAATATTGGTTTCTGTTATGTAGTCTGGGCTTAATGTCAAACGCATCTCCTCCTGTGCGTCTCGGCCCGGAGAGTTTGACAAAGCAGGTAGGACACACAGGTGGGCGTGCCCGTGGCCCCTTCGGTGGAGAGAGACGCAGGGAGGCCCTGTGTCCACAGACCCCCGAGACCACCTGCACCAGGCGGCTCTAACCTGCGCCCGCGACGAGGCCAGAACCCTTGTCCCGCTCTCCATCCTCCACCACGATCACCCTCGGAACCGCTGTTGACTCGCCCAGACACCTGCAGGAGCCTCCTCCCTGGTTTCCCGGTCCACGTCTCCTCCGACCCTCTCCCCTCCCCCATCCATTCTGCTCAGCTGTCACTCCGTCCCTCACAAGCCCTCGGGGCCTCCTGTCCAACACCCCAGCCCTGTCCCAAATGAGCCTCACTCACTGGCCTCTGGCCCTGGCTTCTCCTTCCGGCATGAGTACTTTCTGTCTGGTTCTCCTGGCTGCTCCCATGTCTTCCAGGTCTCAGCTCAGATGTCCTCTCCTCGGAGGTGCCTTCCCGAGCCCCTCTGTCCCTGTCACAGCCCCGAGAGGCTCTTTTGGCACACTTGCCTGCTTGCCACCGGTGCCCCTAACCTTCCCGCCAAAGGTCAGCTCCAGGACAGCATGCCTGGCGCACAGCAGGTACTCAATAAACACATCCTGGGGGAATAAGGAAGTCATCAGAGTGACCTTCTAATGCAGGACGGTGCGGGTGACCCAAAGGGGCAGATCGGCGAACGGCTTGAGGCTGGTGTGGAAGTGACGTTAAGGTTCTACTCGCGCGGAAGGCCAGAGAGTGAACGTGCAAAGATTTCTCCCAGCGTCTTGGGTCTAGACTCTCGGACGTCTGCAAGTCTGCGCATAATCATTAACTTTTATTGGGGACGTATCGAGCTGTACCGCAGAAATAATGTAATTGTTTCCTAGCTGCTAGCCGGCTCTCACTGGTTGAGGCAGGAGGATCTATGTGGAGCACTCCTAGATTTCCCACAGAGACCTGCCTCGGGCACTTTCCAGTTATTACACCCCGGGAAAAGGCCATAAAACCGATATTAGGCCCCAAATGACTTTTACAGCTGGAGACAACCAAAGCTCCTGTATTTTCATCCCGGGACTACAACTCGGTCACGAAACGTCCCAGCATCCCACTTGCCAGCAGCATTTTCATTTTAGTTCATTTTCGGGTGGCCGTGACAGCCACGAGGGGCGGGATTTGATTTTCTCTACCTGCGGTTTGTAGAGGAGGACTTTCGTGCACTTTGACTAATGGGACCTTCACTCCCTGGCCCCCTTTATTACACTGCCTGCGGGACCCCGGGATCCCTTTTCCTCTCTCCAACATCGGCAATCTGTGTGATGGGAGAGGCCGTCTGGGGAGAGGCAGAAGTTGGTCTCCAGCCTCCAGTTTTACGAATAGGCTGTCCCCAACTTTTCTAAGGAGCCAACCGAGCTTGGGGATTCGGGTCAGCTGGGACCCCGGTTTGTGGTTCACTGCTGCTGTGGGGTGAATACTCTCAGGACGAATAGAGGGTCACCGAACATTTCTCTTTTTGGAAAACGGAGCCTTTTACTTTTCACGGCTTTATGGAGACGCAGCTCGCGTCCCCTCCAGTTCACCCACTTGAGGTGCACGACGCTGGGGCTTTTAGCGCGTTCACAGACCCGTGCACTTAACCCTGCAATTCTAGAACGTCTTCGTCACCCCAAAGAGAAACCGACACCGATTAGCCATCACCCCTCCGGTCCTCCCTTCCCCCCAGCTCCTGGCAACCACGGATCTACCTTCTGTCTCCGTGGATTGGCTTCTTCCACACGTCTCATCTAAGTGGAAACCTACCACATGTGGTCCTCTGTGTCTGGCTTTCACGCAGCATGGTGTTTTCAAGGTTTATCCCCATCGTAGCTTTTCTGCAGGTGTCTGCGTTTTTATTGCCAAACAATAGCCCTCGGTGTGGGTGTGTCACTTCATCCATTCATGGATTGAAAAGTTATTGACCTTTGGTGCTGGAAGGGACATGGCAGGTCCTCCAATGCAGCCCTCAATTTCACAAAGGAGGAAAAGGAGGCACAGAGAGGGGAAGTGACTTATCCAGGGTGGCACAGCCAGCCTGGGAGACCTGATACTGACAGGAGCTTTGGCCTTATAAATCATGAAATATTTCATGCTTACTGGAAAGTTAGAAAAAAATACAGTGAACTCTCTTTCTCTGTTCACAGCCTTTACCCATTTCTCTTCGGGGTTTCCTTTTCTTTAATTACTTGTAGGAGTTCTTAGTAAATTCTAAAGGCAAATCATTTGTTGTTTACAAACCGTACCCAGCTTTTCCCAGTCTGTGGCTCGTATTGTCCTTTGGTTTCTGGTGTTGATGAGGTTTGGTGGACAGAAGTTTCTAATTTTAGTGAATTGTCTGTCTTGTTATTTATGGTTTGTGCCTTCTGAGTCTCGGTTAAGAAATCCTTTGTTAGGGGAGCCTGGGTGGCTCAGTTGGTTTATCATCTGACATATATATATATATATATATATATATATATGTATATATATATATATATAAAATGTTTATTTTATTTTTGAGAGAGAGAGAGAGAGAGAGAGAGAGCATGAGCAGAGGAGGGGCAGAGAGAGAGGGAGACACAGAATCTGAAGCAGGCTCCAGGCTCTGAGCTGTCAGCACAGAGTCTGACGTGGGGCTCGAACTCACAAGCTGCGAGATCATGACCTGAGCCAAAGTCGGGTGCTTAACCCACTGAGCCACCCAGGCCCACCCAAAAGCATACACTTTTATTTCAGATAAATTCTACATGACACAGGAGCCTTCACAAGGAAATGAAGACTCGAAGAGTAGTTAAAGCTGAGGGCTTTTTTTTTTTTTTTTTTTTTTTTAATCTGAGTGCTTTTATTACTGGGTTCGATGAGGAGTAGAAAGTCATGGGAAAACATGATAAGACACTGGGGTAGGAGCCAAGAATAGTAAACTGGGGGAAACTTAGTGATGTCTATTCATTCAGATTTCTCTTGGCATCCCCCTCATCTTTGGAGATGAGGATATTCCTTTCCTCCAGGTATAGAGAGAGCACCTGTCGCATGAAGGTCTATGATCTACTTCAGGACTTCAGGGGAAGGTCAGAGAGTCCTTCCGGCAGCTACTGCTGCTCAGATTCCTTCCATGTAGGTCAGTCAACATGCCAAAGTGCCATATTTGGGGGGAGCGTGTCTCCCACCCTGTTGAGACAGTGCTTCCTTTACCACATAAATTATACCCATATACCTGTTTTAATTTTGGGGCTCTGTTCCTTTAGTCTTTTTGTCTACTTCTGTGCCAATACCATATGTCTCAATTCCTATAAGCTCATAATAAGTCCTAATATTTAGAAGGGCAAGCACGAGCCCCACCACCTCTCACCTTGCCCTCTTTCTTCAAAATAACCTTTGTTTTAAGTTTGTTTATTTGACTTGAGAGAGAGAGAGAGAGAGGAGAGGGAGAAGGAGTGTGTGTGCATGTGTGTGTGAGCAGGGGAGGGGCAGAGAGAGAAGGAGGGAAAAGAAAATTCTAAGCAGGCTCCTTACTGTCAGCTCAGAACCATGAGATCATGACCTGAGCCAAAACCAAGAGTCAGACACGCAACTGACTAAGCCACCCAGATGCCCCTAAAATAGTCTTAACTTTTTGTCTTAGCTTGTTTGCTTTTCCATCTAAGCTCCAAGATAAGCTTGCCCATTCCTCAAAACTCCTTTTGGGGCTTCGACTGGTATTGCATTGAATGTACACGTTAATATGAAGTATACTAACGTCTTTATGAGACATTGAATATTCCTATCCATGAAGATGGTATATAGCTCTCCTTTTTAAAATGTTTCAATACATAGATTTTAAACAATTTTATAAATTGTATCATTTATGTTATACATTTTACCATCATAGTTTTACAATTTACAGAAATCATACACATCTTTTATTACATTTATTCCTTGGTTATATAATTTTTCTTGCTATTGTAAATGGCGGTTTACAAACTATATTGTTGCCAGCATCTAGGAATACACATGAGATTAAATATTAATCTGAGATTCAGCAGCCATGATAAATTCTCGGAGTTCCCAAAAATGTATTGAGTTTTTATGCAGATGATCACATTATCTGTGACCTATGACAGTTTTAGTTTTTTCCCGTTCGAACTTACTCCTTTTATTAACTTTTTTGTTCTTCATGCACAGGTTAGGACCCGAATCCTTCATACGGCTGAGTGGAAGTGGAGACAGTGGGCCCTGCTCCTCATACCTGACATTAAAGAAATGTTTCTCCTTTAATCTTTAAGGGTGATGTTTGCTGTAGGTTTTGCCAAATGTCCTCTATCCAGTTCTAGAAGATCCCTTCTGTTTCTAGTGACTCATGAATCCTTCCTCTGGTTTTAAAAATGGTTGTTATTAATTCATATTTGCATTATAGAAGTAACATTGCTCATAGAAACGGAAATCAAATAAGAGGAAAGTAAAAACACTCCATCCCAGCCCCAGCCCTTCTCTTCAGACAAAACCGCTGTTAACATTTTGTCATTCCTTCTAAAAATTTTCAATGCACGCGCAAGCATATATTGGTATGCCCCTATTTTTCCACACAAAAAGACTACATTGCAGTCCTGTTCTATAATTTTATTTTTTTCAATAAAGCATCTTGGGCATTACTCTACGTTGGGACACGTGGGTCTACGTCATTCTTTTTATTTTTATTTTTTTTTTAATTTTTGAATGTTTTTATTTATTTTTGAGGCAGAGAGAGACAGAGCATGAGCAGGGGAGGGGCAGAAAGAGAGGGAGACACAGAATCCGAAGAAGGTTCCAGGCTCTGAGCTGACAGCACAAAGCCCGATGTGGGGCTTGAACCCACAAACTGTGAGATCATGACCTGAGCTGAAGTCGGACGCTCAACCAACTGAGCCACCCAGGCGCCCCTACGTCATTCTTTGTAATGGCGGCACCATACTCCACCGTATGGATGCCCACGGCGGTTTAACCAATTCCCTTCCAATGTACATTTAGGCTGTATCTGTATTTGTTTACTAGTCTGTTTGCTGGTTATTACACATAATGCCTTAATGCACATGCTTGGGCATAATCTTTGTGCCCTTGTGTGGGTACATCAGCAGGATGAACAGGGAAAGTTCCTAGTTGTGAATCTCATTGTGTGACTCCCAACCTCCTTTCCCTGAATCACCCTGCTCCTCACTAAAGGAGACCCAGGAGGACTTTGCTTGCCTCAATCAAGACCCTCCCAAAACACACGGGTCTTCTCTCCCTGACAAGAAGTCAGGCCAGGGACACAGGGGGCAGGCAGCCCGCCTTCCTCTGCTGTTCCCATGGACCCATCGGTTCCTCTTGGCTTGTCTCAGCCACTGCAGACTTTGGAAGGTAGGTCCGCTCGCCACGACGCTGCCAACGCCTGCTGCCGCTGCAGACTTTGGACCTGATTGTTTATTTAGACTCACAGTGTCTCCTGCTCCTTCCTCGCCCATGCCCTGCCTACCCGGGTGCCTGGTACCTGCGGGCTCCGCCCCTCTCTCAGGAGCACCCTGTGGCTGCGTGCTGTCTGCTTGTTCTTCTTGACACGACGCCTGCATCTGTGGCATTTGTTTTGTCCCTCTTGGAGAAACGGACTTGCCACGCCAACCCCTTGCCTGTCTGGGTCCCATGCCTTCAAAGGGGGCCAGATACGCCATCCCAAAATATGCTCCTGTGGCAGGAGGACTATGTTGGGCTGAAGGCAACTGAGAGAACGCGAACACAGGAAGGCCTCTCTGCTCTCCTGTTATCTGCCTGAAACCAGGGCATGGCCTCCCCTTGTGAAGGTGTCCCAGGCTTCTCCTGCACCACGATGGGGAGAACAACCCTTATCATCAGAGACGGAGACTCTGCAAGGTGTACCAAGGTGACTCTTAACGTACCAAGGTGACTCTGCATAAGCAAATCTCTAAATCACCCTATCTGCCCTTAGTTCCCCCACATATCTCCCTTCCCGCAATTTACTGCCCCCTAGAAGCCCTCTTTTCTTTGTCTAAGCCCTTTTTTACGATATAAAGCCTTTTGTTAAAATGGTGCATAAACTGCCAAGTCTAGCCACTTTTTTTGGGTTTTTGCTTCTTTTCTGGGGAAGTCCCCTGCATGTAAAATCAAAAATAACATTTAGGGGCACCTAGGTGGCTCAGCTGGTTAAGCGTCTGACTCTCGGTTTCTGCTCAGGTCATGATCTCACGGTTTGTGAGTTCAAGCCCTGCCCTGGGCTCTGTGCTGGCAGTGCAGAGCCTGCTTGGGATTCTTTCTCTCTCCCTCTCTCCCTGCCTCTCCCCTGTGCAGGTACACACTAGCTCTCTCTCTCAAAATAAATAAATAAACCTTAAAAAAAATCTGTATGCTTTTTCTCTTATTAGTCCGTCTTTTGTCAGCTTAATTTGCATATCCCAGTCACGCACCTAAGAGTGTTGAGGAAGTCTGTCCTCCCCTGCGTGATCCATACTCCATTCTCAGCCACAACCCTATGCTGACCAAGGGCCCCCGAGGAGTGCTCACTCCACTGAGTGCCCTCTGTCACATACTGACTACCCTCCAGCCAGGTGATCTTTCCAAATGAACACCATATCGCCTCACTTTCTCTTTTCGGATCTTTTTTTTCAGCATCTCAACGCAATTAGAGAAAACCCAACCACCACTTAATGACCTGCCTCTCACTCCCCCTAACAACCCCTGCAACCGCAGGGACCACAAGGTGCCCCCTTCCTCAGTTCTTGGCCCTTCCTCACTTCCAGGCTTTGGGTGCACTGCTCTCTCTGCTGGACGCGTCCACCACCATCTCTTTGCAAGGGTCAGCTTCCCCCCCCCCCGCTACAAGCAGGGATCATTCTTGATCACAGCAGCTCCTGCCTTCCACTGTCAACTCACCATGTTTCCCCCACCGGAAGGAGGCTGATTTTCCTTGGAAGAATTACCCGTCCCCCATTCTATGGTGTCAAGCAACATGCCCCACCTTCCCAAAGGATGTGGCAAAAACCTGGCCAATCCGGACCCTCCCTCTGGAATTTGATCCCTGACAGTTGGGCATTTGAATTTTCGACAACAGCAAAACAGTTGGAACAGATTTATCTCAAAAGAGAACGCCCCTTAGCTGTCGTCCTGTCCTTCTGACAGTCTTTCCCCACTACTCTCTCCCCTTGTTCTGCCCATCTCCCTCCTTTCTTTACACCCCCTCCTACTCCTTCTATTTGGAGAGTTTTCCCTTCCCTCCCCAGCCTCCCCTCCTCATCAGTCCCTGTTCTTTGCGCTCAAAGAACCTGCCTGAGACTCTCCACCACCCTTCTCCTCCGGGCCCCCTCCTCCTCCCATTTATCCAGTGCCCAATATAAATATTTAATGAACGACTAACAAAGGCTAATAATGAATGTGTGGCACTTTCCAAGGGGGGGGGGAGACACCCTGCAAGCAACAGGAGTGAGGTCTCTCGAGAAGGGCACAAACAGCATAATTAGTAAGTGCATCATATACTTTTGGCTTTGTGCCGCCTCCTTGGGCATAGACATGTGGCTTCCGGGAGAGGCTGGGAGGGACGAGTGAAACTCTGTACCGTGAATTCCTCGGCACTGAAACACCCCGCCTGGCCACCTTCACCACGGAGGGGGACACCAGTGGTAAAAATATGGGATGGTGTTGTCTTTTGATGAGAGGGAAGGTACTCCAGAGAGTGGAAGAGCAACACATCTATTCAACTTTCTGATGACTTTCTAAATGCTGAGACTTGACCTCATGCGTTGTTAAACTGATGCTTTGCTGCACTCCAGTGACCAACAGGAAGTGACCAAAGACCCGCACTTGCCCGGCAGGAGGGACACAGGTGCATCCACAGGAAATGAAGATGTCTGTCCCCAGACCCCGTGAGGGCCACCAAGTCCCAGTGCCTGGTATGCTGCAGGAGCTCAATAAATATGTGCCCCATGGCTGGATCTAGTTTCTGATGTTTAAAACAACATTTTTAATTTAAAAATAAATTTATTTATTTTGAGAGAGAGAGAGAGAGAGAGAGAGAGCAGGGGAAGGGCAGAGAGAAGGAGAGAGAGAATTGCAACACGGGGCTCTATCTCACGAACGGTGAGATCACGGCCTGAGCCAAAATCAAGAGTCAGAGGCTTAAACACCTGAGCCACCCAGGCGCCCCTAGTTACTGACCCCTTGTTAAAAGACTTCCGTTGCTAAAGCAAATTCTTCTTTTTCCCTTGTTTCAGACATAAACCGGACGGATGGAATCTGGATCTGGAAGGTCATCTCTGGCAAGCACCCCTCTGATGATGAAATCCCTTCTAGAGCCTGTTGGCTATTTCTGTACTGCTCTGGATTTGGGAAGTTTTTCCTTATGTTAAGCCAAAGACCCTATTGCAAGTGTAGACAAAATGAGTCTACACTCTCCCACGTGGTCACTCCCCACATACGTGGAGACATTCTATCCTTTTCTCTGGGACCCCGACCTTCAACCCCCCTCCCCGCAGCTTGTAGCCTAAAAAAAAACCTCACCCCCACTGACTGTTTTAACTACACCCCTTCACCCCTTCACCCAAGACCCCTCCATCTATTCTCCAAAACTGGGGTCCCCAGGGCTGGGTCCTGGCCATACTTCGTGGACCGCTCTAAGGGCTCTCCAGTCTCACTCATGCCCGTGACTTGAAGCACCTTCAGTCGGCTCATGTTTTCCAGATTTATACCTGCGGCCCTGACGCCCGGTCCCCCATGCCAGACCCACATCCCCAGTCAGCTGTTTGGGCCCTCCCTCGGATGTCCCACCACCTCCCCCTGCACCTGCTCCCACCTGGACCCTCTCTCAGTGGGCAGCCCCCCCTTGGCCTGGGAGTCCTGCTGCTTTCTTCCTGCTCCCGCCTTGCCTCAATTCCAGTGAATCACAAGGCTTATTGACGGTATCTCCAAGGCTTGTGAGATCCCTCCCACTCTCCACCCCCACAGCGCGGTTATGGGAGCCTCCCCTCACTCCTTCTGAAAAACTCATTGATGAGTTCCCATGGGACCCAGAATAATGTCAAAATATGAGCCACAATCCCTGACTCTCCATCTTCATTCTCTACTCTGTGATCTCGACTGTCTGCCACTCTGGGCTTATTTGGGCTCCCTGGGAGAAGCAACCTCTTTCTACCACAGGGCCTTGGCATATGCTGTCTGGGTCCCCTCCTCTCGGCATGGTTGTCTCCTGCTTCCCCGAGTCCCCTGGTGCTTTCTCACAGCACCTAGAATAATTTGTTATCTAATGAGAAATTTACATGTATATGTATATGTATATGTATATGTATATGTATATGTATACGTATACATGAGTATTTACGTATACATATTTTTGTGGTATGCCTGTCCCCACGACTAGAGTCTCAAGTCCATGCAGGCAGGGGTCTGGTCGGTTATCTTTCTCCCATGTCGTTCCTGACACCAAGAAAGCTCTTGGCACATAGTAGGTGGTTGGTGAGTATCTGCTCGGTGACCACGCTGATGATTCAAGGGCACATTTCCCGCCAGTCTCTCCCCTGGTGGCCCATGGGGCCAGGCAGCTCTAACTATTCAAAACCCACACCTCATGGTCTCTCTCCGCAATCTGTTTCTCCTTGTGTAACCTGGGTCTCAGCGAGCAGCCCCACGACCCTGGGGGCCACCATCACCCCCAAATCCAAAGAGTCCGGCCAAGTCTCGTCCATCCTGTCTCCTTAATAACTCGCGTTTCTGCGCCGAACTTTCTGCCCTTACAACTCCGAAGGTTTTGTTCAACCCTCAGGCCTCACACCCAGTTGCCTTTGTAGCCTCTGATCTCCATGCGTCCCCCTTCCAGCAGTGCCAGCAAAGCACCCTTCCTAACCTCCCCGTGACAGCGTGACAGCGTCGCTCCTTTCTTTGCCGCTGGTGGGAGCGCCGTCCTACTGCCCCATTCACCCCTCCCCCCCACCAGTGTGCTGGGGAGAAGGGACCAACCCCCCTCCAAGCCGGCGACGCCCGGCTCCTTGGTGCCTCGGCTTTCTCGCTTCGGGGAGAAGTGGCAGGTCCGCTTGGTGTTCGTTCTTCGTTCGGGGATAAAAATGACACTTTGGTCTCCACCTACCCACTCCTGTCCCAAGCACCCCTTCCTAGCGTCTACCCCCCCCCCCCCCCCCCAACGGGGAACGTTAAGTGAGAAGCACTTCGGAGCGTCTGGCACAAAAGTGCTTCAGAAATGCTATGAAACATAACCTTGATGGGGAAGGGGATTGTCATCAGCCCCCCGCCACCCCCAAGCTGGGGGAGGCGCTCATCCAAAGCAAAGCTGCGCCCCCCACCCCCACCCCCGCACGCCTGGGAGGGAGAGAGCGGGGCTCCACGAGCAAGCCCCAGACCAGATCCCTCCAACCAGAGGGGCGCTGCTGAGGACCCGGTGCCCAGGCTCTGCGTGGGCTGTTTTCCTGCAACCCACTTAATCTGCACTGAGGGCCACAGCTCGCTTGCTGGGGCTGTGACTCAAAGCCCCGTCATCTTCCGATTAACTTCTCCTTCCTCCCCTTCCCCCTCCTGCCCCCTCCTCCTCCTTTCTTCTCCTTTCCTCCTCCTCCTTCCCCCCCTCCCCCTTCCCGTCCCCTTCCTCCCCTTCCTCCTCCCTTCGTCTTCTTCCTCTTCCACCCTCTCCCCGCTCCTCCTCTCCCCCTCCCCTCATCCTCTCCCCCTACCTTCCCCTGCTAGTTCCCGTTTCTCCCCCCTCCTCCCAACCAGATCCCAGACCTGCCAGGTCTGCCTCCGAATGTTTCCTCAACTGTCCCCTCCACCCACTGCTCCTGACGGTAGGTCTCCGGACGATGTATTACCAGCCCCCAGCCCCAGGGCTCCCAGCCGCCCCTCCCCCACTCGCAGCCAGAGGCCTCCTTGCTCACGTCATCCCCAACTGGGAAACCCCTGACAGCTTCCACTGCTCACAGGATCAAGTCCGTACATCCCTCCCCAGCTCCGGGGCAGCCTCTTCTCTGCCTCCCTTGAGCCCCTCAAGCACGAGGGGGGCGGAGGTGGGGGGGGGGACACACGAGCCTTCTTTCTGGCTGTGCCCTCGCCAGACTTCTACCGTCCTATCACCCTTTCAAAGGACCAGTCCACATTCTTAGTTAGAAACGGCGAAACAGACCCGGGGTAATTGAGGCAGAAGGACAATTTTGGAAGGGTATTGAACTGAGCAGCGGCCGGTAAGAAGGCTCAGAACCAGACCTGCGAACAGCCAGGAAGAGGCCCACACCCACTGTGTCATTTGCCCGGTCCCGAGGTCATGCTAGGGTCGCGTGAGACCCGACCACAGCGGGGGAAGGGGACCCGGGACCTCTCTACAGTCCCTGTGACTAGCTGTGGCTCTATAGCCTTTCAAAGCAAAAAGTTTTAAAGAAAGAAAGACAAGCCGGGCAGGGACAGGGCAGGGCAGGGTAAGGACGCTGTTGCTGCTGCCTGGGCTAATCTGGCAAAATCTCTCAACGGTCGGTCCCTGCTTCCACGCGAGCCATTCAAGAGCATCCCATCGGCCACATCCAGGTGTCAGATCCCTGGCCACCGGGGAGGAGAGAGTCCCCTCCCCTCATGCTTCTGTCTCGGCAAGTGAGGTCTGTTCCCCACCTCCCCACCCAGGCTCCGAACTGGGCAGCCGAAATCGATGCCACGGAGAAGGGCGAAGTCCTCGTCAGGCAAGTCTGCGGCCCCCAAGCCCCAAGCCTGGATCGTTTGCATATCTTTATCACAGTGGCCCTATGACACCTGTGCAATCATTCATTCAACAAACATTAACGAGCGCCTCCCTGGGGCCAGATGTGGGGGGGGGGGGGGTACCGCAGCCAGCAAGGTGCAGGCACGAATCCGCCCCCCCACCACCCAGTCCTGCCCTCATCATTTTTCATTTTGCCTTTCCTTTTCTCAGGGAGGAGCATCCCTGCGATTGCTCTGAGAGGTCCCTACCAGTCTTGGATTTGTCCACGGCTCGTCACTGTCTTTTCTTTTTAGGTACCTGCTCCTAAAAACCTCAGCTCCCTCCCCGCCCGAAGACGTCTATGACTCTGAGCCCATCTCCCCTTTTGAGATGCACGTCTTAGAATCACGAGCCTCTTCGACACCTTTTGAAATCTCCCGTGCTGAAGATTAGAAACTACGCTTGACTCTGTTGTCCTTCTCAGACACCGTAAATGCTAAGGCTCCACAGTTGGCTACTTCCAGATTTCTAGCCTGTCTACCTGGCCAACAGTCCCTCCATATGGTGGGCCATTCCTGGGAGTAGTCCCTTTGAGACGTGAAATTGTTAAGTCGGGAATTTGTCAGAAGCCTCACGATCTAGTTTCCACACAGCAGCAAAAATGACTTTCTTGAAACACGAAGCAGATCATGTCACCCCCCCCCTTGTTGAACCCCCAGAAGCCCCTGCCCTCCTCACCAAACCCAACCTGTACCACTCCTATTGTATTCTTCCCACTCTTTGAATATCCCCAAGCCTTTCCTGCCCCAGGACCTTTGCACCTGCGGTGTCCAGTGTCCGCTCTCCTTTGCTTAACTAGCTCCTTCTCTTCCTTCACGCCTCAGGGTGATTTCACACACTCCAGGAGGTTTTCTCTGATTACCCTTCCCTCCTTAGGTCCCTCTCAGTTATTTTCCATCTCAGCCCCTTGTATTGACTGCCTAGGTTAACTTGCATTATATTTATATTTATATTTATATATTTATATTTATATTTTTTTGGTGTGGGTTTTTGCTTGCTTACTGCCATTGGAAGGCCAGGTTTAGGAGGGCAGGCACTATGACGTCCTGTCTCATTCACCATTGTGTCCCCAGCACCTCTATCCCAGTGCCTGGCCAATGGCTAATGCTCAGTAAACTTTGGGGGGCGGGGTTGCCAACGGTGAAAGGATCTGATTTTTGTCAAGTGGCTTCCCGTCGATGTCTCACTCCTGGACTCTGCTCTCTGCCCATTTGCGGAGGTCTGTTGGAAACAGGATGGAATTTCTCCTGGGTCCAGGTGGCCCACGGCATGCCGTGACAGCAGCTAATGTCTGTCTCCCTCTGATCTTTACAGGGAGCTCCTCTGCATCCCACGACCCTCGGACTTACAGCCAGGTCTCTCTGTTGTGTATGGAGCACACCTTCGTTCCGCGAGACCCTGCCTCCTTCTGGGCCACGAGTATCATTTCTGCCGTCCTCACTGTTCCCCAGGCACTTCCTGTCTCCTGTTCTTTCTCCATCACCCCGCTGTCCTCCACAGCAACCCAAATCACAGATTCTTGGGAGTTTTTCCCTCGCCTCCGCAATATTCAACATTCCGCCCCCGGCCCGCGCCTTCCGCTTCTAGCGAGGAGCCTCTGCGTTCTGGGATCTTAAGACATATATATGCAAGTCCCAGGAAGTCAGAATTCAAGCAGCCAACCATTCACCTGCCTCAGTTTCTTCTTCAACCATTCCACGGCAGAGGTTGGGAAACCTCTCTTCTGCCTCCTTCAGTGGGGGGCCAGGGACCCCAGTCTCCTGAGGGAGCCACGCTGGGTAACACTCGACCACGCATCTCCCGTGGCCACGTCAGGTGCGGTGGACCCCACCACTCCCCTTCGCTGAGAGTACCCCACCCCGGTGACTCATCCCGCTCTCCCAGAGAACTTGCCTGCTTCTCCGGAAGACATGGTTTCTCCCTGGGCCTCCTGATCTCCTTCCTCTATGGGGCTTTCCCACCCACACCCTTGACTTGGGTGTTGACTCCTCGAACGGCCCTGTGGTTCCGTGAGCACGTGTGGCCCACCGCTGCTCCCCGCGGAAGGCCCAGGCTCGCCACACCGGGCCGGCTCTTGGCCGGCTCTCCGCGGAGCCCCAGGCAGCACAGCTAGGCTTTCTTCCGTCTTCCGTGCTGCAATCTCCTGCTTTCTTTGATCTTGGCCTGGGTTTTACAGGGATCGACTGCTTGCTTCCTCGGTTCCTACTGGACTGCAGGTTCCACTTAGAAGCCAAAGCCTGAGGTCGGCACCACCTCTGCCCCATGCGCCCTCCTAACCCCAAGCCCCAGGCATACTCCCCACGCAGTGCGGGCGCTCTGATCTTTTTGAAGGAAGGAAGAGACTACATCCGGGAGCCCTTCATCTTGCCGGGGACACCAGACTCATCCTGAACAGCGTTGTTTTCCTCTAGACCTGCTAACCAGCTTGCACCTGCTGCTGCTGTCACCCAGAAAGGTGCACACGGCTCACCGCGTGTCCCTGGGACTGCCGTCTCCGTGTCTCGGATGGGAACGGAATCCCCACCACGGCTGTGATCGCCCGTGGCTGTGAGATGATGTGTGTTAAGCCTCCGTTTCGGCGCTGGGCATGGCAAATACAGGCAGGTACCATGACTACACAGTGGGGAGGAGGAGGAGGAGGAGGAGGAGGAGGACAAAGGCATCAGTGATGACCAAGGTGGTGATGAGGATCCTCCCTGGCTGACTACGGAACTGAACCACGTCTCTTCCCCAGGCTGTAGTTCGTCCCCACCCCATCCTGAGGAAGCTTTAAGCCACTTCCTTCGCACACATATATTTTCTCCCACCCAGGATCAGGAATAAAGGCTTGGCGACTCTCAGCAAATGATGACCCATCAGCACAGCTCGGGAGAGCAGGCGGGCAGTGAATCACCTGGCAAATGGGAGGAAAACCCTCCAGGGCAAAAAAAAAAAAAAAAAGCATTCACATTTCTTTTGTTTCAAATTTGCAAATCTCTGTGGTCCCCGGGAGCTCTTATCTTGTTTGTCTCCAAACTCAGGAAGTGGATAGTCTTGGGATTCTGGGATGGACGCAAATAGGTCTGGAGAGAATCTTCAAAGAGTTCCATGCGACGGTGATCCATCGCATGTTTCTTTCCCAAAATTATTTATCATATAATAAAATCTTTTTAAAACAAAAACGTTTAATGCTTATTCATTTTTTGAGAGAAAGAAAAGAGAGCCAGAGCACGAGTGGCGGAAGGGCAGACGGAGGAGACGCAGAATCTAAAGCAGGCTTCAGGCTCTGAGCTGTCTGCACAGAGCCCGATGTGGGAACTGTGAAATCATGACCTGAGCTGAAGTCGGACGCTTAACTGACGGAGCCACGCAGGTGCCCCGATCATGTAATAAAATCTTATGGATCCGATTAAATGATAGAACCACCCATTTTAATTAATCTCAGTAGAAAATACGGTAGGTAGGCGAGGAAAACACTTTCCCCTTCCCTCTTAGGTTCTGTGCCTGGGCCTGTGAACTAAGCCGACAAAAGCCAGATCAACAGGAAATAGGCATACAAACTTTACTTGCCATCGATATTTTATTTTATTTTTTTTTTTTTTTAATTTTTTTTTTCAACGTTTATTTATTTTTGGGACAGAGAGAGACAGAGCATGAACGGGGGAGGGGCAGAGAGAGAGGGAGACACAGAATTGGAAACAGGCTCTGAGCCATCAGCCCAGAGCCTGACGCGGGGCTCAAACTCACGGACCGCGGGATTGTGACCTGGCTGAAGTCGGACGCTTAACCGACTGCGCCACCCAGGCGCCCCGCCATCGATATTTTAATTTTCATGTAAGCAGAGGTCTTCATAGAAAAGAAAGAAAGACCCAGAAGAGCAGTTCAACTTGGGGAGCTTAGACACCATTTTAACAAAGAGGATAAATTATGGAGAAGTGACCAGACAATGGAAAAGGGATGTGGGAAGATAAATGTATGGGGGAAACTAATGAAGACAAGGGGTCCTGAGTAAAGTGTTGTTTACGCAGACTCAAGTCGGGCACCCTCCGCATCTCTGGTGATTTGCCTTCTTCCCTTCCTGGTATGAAGGAGGGGGAAACATCTTCAAAGGAAAACATAGGCTCTACTTGAGGCCAGATAATAGCACAGAATGCATTTCCTGAGTCCGTTTTTTTCTCGTTTGCCTTCAGCTCAAAATAATCCTCATGCCAAAGTATGCATTGCTTTTAATGTTCACTCATTTTTTGAGAGAAAGAGAGAGAGAGAGAGAGAGTGCAAATGGGGGAGGGGCAGAGAGAGAGAGGGGGAGACACAGAATCTGAAGCAGGTCCCAAGTTCTGAGCTGTCAGCACAGAGCCTGACGCGGGGCCCGAACTCACGGACTCCGAAACCGTGACCTGAGCCAAAGTCGGATGCTTAACCGACCGAGCCGCCCAAGAGCCCCATAATCCCCTTCAATATTTTAAAAGAAATTTAGTTATGTCACCCTCAAAACTTCTTAGAAACCCAAAAGAAAGGAAAATGGAATCTTGCCCCCTGGAGACACAGAAGATTTATTTAGGGAACAGAGAAGGATCATTTCAATCAGCATTAAGGTACTCATAGACAAAGGAAGGCTGCTAAAATCACTACAGGTATGTTTTTCTCTTTCATAAATTACATGTTTTCTCTCTGGGGGGCACCCGGGTGGCTCAGTCGGGTAAGCGTCCGACTTCGGCTCAGGTCATGACCTCATGGTTTGTGAGTTCGAGTCCCGCATCAGACTCTACACTAATGGTGTAGAGCCTGCTTGGGAGTCTCTCTCTCTCCCTCTCTCTCTCTCTCTCCCCTTCTCTCTCTGCCCCTCCTCCATCTGCTCTCTTTCTCTCTCCCAAAAATAAGTAAACTTAAAAAAAATGTGTTCCCTCTGATTTTTCTTGTTCAGCAAAACTTTTTTTTTTTTTTTTACAACATCCATGTAAATGATTATAGTCTTTAAACTAGTGAGGTTGAAATGGATTATGGTTGATGTCACTCATTACTTAGAAGAGGGTAAATCATTCAAGAGGAAGAGTATCTTATTTGCAGTTTTCCTAAAAAGCTTGGTCTTCGGACACCTGTGAATGGAGGGGATGGTTCCCGAAGCCCCCAGGCGCCCGCACCACAACGTGCCTCTGCACTGCCCCAGGGTAGGACGCCTGGGCTCTCGCCAGCTTGAGCCCGAATGCCCAGGCCTGCCTTTCTCTCTTGAATTATGCATAACACTGAAGGTAGTTAGTGCTTTGGGCAGAGAGGATGAACTTTGGATCTGGCCACTTTCTGCAGTCATTCATAAATTTCAGTGGAAGCTAAGACTGACACTCGTCCCCATCCAGGATCAGGGGGAGCCATCCTATTTAGAATGTTTCCTCCCAAAAGCCCACTGTTCCACAAAATTACATTTTGTTTTATTTTACTTATTTGAGAGAGAGCGAGAAAGGGAGAGGCAGAGGGAGAGGGAGAGAGAGAAACTTAAGCAGGGTCCATGCCCAACTCGGAGCCCAACTCCGGACTTGATCTCACGACTATGAGATCATAACCTGAGCTGAAATCAAGAGTCGGATGCTTTACCGACTGAGCCACCCAGGCGCGCCCCAAATTACATTTTAAACATACTCTTCCCATCTCCTGAAGTATAAAGCTAAGAAAATGGAATCAATTTCCTCATACATGGGCAACATCACAGAAGACCGTAGAGTTAAAGTCAAGAGTTATATTTACGATAACATCAAAAGTAATTTTTTGCTCTTAGAAGCTTTATAATTTTCCTAACCAATAAATAACGCTTAAATGTTTTTTAAGTTTATGTCTTTATTTTGAGACAGAGACAGAGCAAGCGAGAGAGGGGCAGAGAGAGAATTCCAAGCAGACTCCGCAGGGTCAGCGTGGAGCCCGATGCGGGGCTCGAACTCACAAACTGTGAGATCACGGGCTGAGCCGAAACCAAGAGTCGGACGCTTGACTGACTGAGCCACCCAGGCGCCCCAATAAATAACTCTTTAAATTAAGAAAGCATCAAGGAGTGACACCAAGGGAAGAAAGCATTGTTTTAAATAACCCAACGTTCAAGTCAGATTTTAGACTGGGTGTTGCCTATGCTCTTGAGGATGGGTCGCTATCTCTGATCATGACCAGGAGCCCCCAGAGAGGAAGCTTCTAGTAAGTAACCAGCTGACTGAGGCAGCCATTCTCCTTCAGGGTAGAAATTAAGAAGGGAAGATTAAACCCCCAAAGCTAGCAATCTGCGAGCTCCAGGGGTCGCCCAGGAGGACGCTGGGAAGGTCTAGAATCAGAAGGTGTTGAAGATGTTCAGCCTGAGGGTGGTCCTAGTGGGAGCCCTCTTGACCCCTGCAGTATAGACAGTCTTTTCTGCCTCAAGTCTCTCTTTTAAGATTCTTGCCCTTTGCCGATCATCCCTCTCCCCGAAAATAGAACACACAGAGGGCGCCCTCCCTGCCCCCCTCCCCTCCGGCTGCTCAGCCAGAAACAGGGGTCCCAGCCGTCCCCAGGAGCCGCAGAATCTCCGCCTGGGACCATGAGCTTGTAAACCCTCCACTCCCACCACAGACCCATTTTCTGGAGAGTAAGAGCAAAATCAAACAAAAGCACATCATACTCTGATCCTTTCTTTTTGAACTCAACTGCTAGGCAAATGGGGGTTTTACAGTTTGGAGCTGAATGCGGGTGACTTCGGCCAAATCCGGCTTGTTTCGGAATAGATGTAAAATAAATTCAAATGACCCTGGCTCAGAGATCATGGACGGGCTAGCCGCTTCGGGCAAATGTCAGAGAACCAAGATGGGGTTTATTCAGCTCTGAGTTGTGCCTCAAGCCCCAGAGCTCCAAAAATTACCATGAAAGTGTCCATCAGGCCCAAGCAGGCCGGTTACATGGTTGGAGGCATCTGAGCGCTCAGATTCGAGTACAGAGGTGTTTTTTTTTTTGGCCAGAGCCGTCTTCCGGGACTCCAGGTCCTCTCTGGGCAACCCCCCGGGGAAATTTCTGTAAGTCACCGTGATTACTACGCGGAGAGGGCCAGCCAGTGGTGGCTCTGAAACCCATTCTTTTGTCACACCTTGGGGTTTTTTTTTTCTGTTTCTAAAGTGGCTTCTTCCCCGGGGGGACAGCGAGGCCCCTCAAACGTCCGGGGCAGAAGGAACAGCTCCTTGTGGGGCCCCGTCCCAGCATCCCACCTTACTGGGGGTTACCTGGGTGCCACTTAGCAAACGGCTGGACTCTGTCTCTGTCAAGTGGGGATCCCTGTCGTCGCCCTGAGCCCCCCCCCCCCCCCCACAGGGCAAGTGTGGGGGGGGGGAAAGTCTGAGCCTGAGGGTGACTCAAAAGCGCAATCTTTCCCGGAGTCGAATATTGCTCTGACCTCACGGGGGTACATCACCTAAGGGCGGATGAAGGTGGGCGTGCTCCGCACCCCGAGTGGGGGTCCAGGGGGAGGACGCCTTGTAGAAATTAAGTGCCAGCCATGACATCGCTCGTCGCCCGCCCCCCTCCACCAAGCCCAGGATTGAACTCGGGTCGGTGTTTCTTTCCGGGCCCCCAGGGACACCCCCCCTCCCGCCCCGCCCCCAGGTCACAGACACTGCTGGAAGGTCAACCAAACCCTGTCACCGGGTCAGGTGGCAAGAAAGCCAGGGTTCACTCCCGATCTGGATCTGCGAGCACTTAACAGGAGGCTCAAGTTCGGGCGCGGAGTGAAAATAAACACCCGCTATAAATAAGCCGCTGAATTTCTTCAAGGCCCAAGCGCGACAAGGAGAAGGTGCCACCGCACAAGTGCTCACTTGAAAAATTCTCAACGCGTAAAAATAACTTTGATAACCGCGCGAAGACGCCTGGCTCAGGGGAAAGGAATGGGCCCGCCGCGGGCCCCCAGCCTTGCGCTGCAGGGAGGGGGGGGAGGCGGGGCAGGGGAGGGGGGCGCTGCG